TGTTAGTCGGAGAACAGGCTGGCGAAGGACTGGCGGAGGCTGCGGATGGTTTCTGCTTTTGCCTCGTCGTCCGTCAGGTTTCCACGCAGCGTCTCGCTGAAGGTGTTGGTGAGCGACTGCGATTTACTGCAAGAGACAACGAACATTCATCAGAAACAGATCATGAATCGCTGCAGTTTCTCATCCTTTACAGAGTAACTGAAACGGAGAGAGAAGCAGGCTCTTACTTGAGCTGCGCGGGTTGTTTCTGGGATCCGGCTCCGCTGGAGGGAATGGGCCCGGGCTGGAAGGCCTGACTGGGAGAGGTGGTGGCAGATCGAGCGCGCTGAGGAGACGCCTGACCCGACTGAGACGGAGAACCAGAGCCTGAATGAGGACCACCTACACACACACACACACACGCTAGTGACACACCTGATGAGCAGCTACTGTAGATGTAATGAGTCTCTTCTGCTCATCAAAGCTGCATTTATTTGATCAAAAATACTGTAAAAAATTTGAAATATTATAATTTAAAAAAGATGTTTTCTATGTGAATATGTGTTAAACTAATGTATTTCTGTGATGCGCAGCTGTATTTTCAGCATCATTACTCCAGTCTTCAGTGTCACATGATCTTCAGAAATCATTCTAATATGCTGATTTGCTGCTCAAGAAACATTTCTGATTATTATCATCAATGTTTAAAACATTGATATTTTTGTGGAAACTGTGATACATTTTATTTTTCAGGATTCACAGATGAATAGAAAGTTCAAAAAGAACAGCATTTTTTTGAAACAGAAATCTTTTGTAACATTAGAAATGTCTTTAAAGTCACTTTTGATCAATTTAATGCATCCTTGATGAATAAAAGTGCTCATTTCTTTCTTACCCCAAACTGTTAAATAATAATGTATCACAGTTTCCACAAAAATATTGTGCAGCACAACTGTTTTCAACATTGATAATAGATATTCACACAGAAAACAGCTGTTTTACATTATAATAATATTTGGCATTTTTTACAGTATTTTTGATTAAAAAAAATGCAGCTCTAGTGAGAAGAAGAGACTTCTTTCCATGCTTCTGACCGCTGGCGTGTGCAGATTGAGCGTGTTGTTCACCTGGAGCTCGTCTCGGTTGAGTCGTCTGCGGTCCAGGTTGAGTCTACACACACACACACACACACGTGTTAAACTCCACAGACTGATGCTCAGGTTGAGTGTAAATGAGCACGTGACCGCGGTACCTTCGTGGATGTTTGTGGTGTGATCACTCCCAGCAGAGCGAAGGCCATCTTACTGATGACCAGATCACAGATCAGCTGCCGATCCTCCTCCACATGCTCTCCGATCAGAGGCATCGAGCTGTCCATCACCTGACCAAACACACACACGTTTGTTTTTGGGAATTGTGGGGACTCTCCATAGGCGTAATGGTTTTTCTACTGTACAGACAACAAACACACACAAAAACACACACACACACACACACAAAAACACACACACACACACACACA